AAAAAAAATAAGACGCTCAAAAAAAAACATGGTGGTAGAAAACGAGATGAATAAAGGTGCAAAAGGGAGAAATGGACCTCGGATTTCACACCATATGGAACCGTAACAACTATTTAGGGCAAACATAGGACAATCACATGCTCGGCTTTCAGCTTAAAAAGTAGTGAAGAGTTTGAAACCAGTGTGTAAGCACCTACCCAGCACATCAAAAATTGTAAAACACAGCTCAATAGGAGGGTACACAAAATTAAAGGGAAACGTCTTACATGTATAGAGAAACCAAAAAATCCGGAAAACAAGCTCAACAACAAGTTGCCAAATGCGAATCTACAAGCGGTGTTCCTGTAAAGAGTAAGTAACCCACAGCTTCACCGACTACAATGCTGAGAATAAGATTTCCGTTATATGTCATCACAATCAACATCAGAATGTAGGCAAGAAGTGCTTGAATGCCATATAAAGCAGCTTGAGCCAAGCGAGCGCCAGAAAACACTCGTTTCGTGTAGCTTAAAAAAACATTGTTACAGAGACAATTCAAAAGTTCAAAAACCCCGCAAAATCTCAAAATTACCCTGTCATTTGGACCATTGGAGTAAGTGGTGCGGTATCTTGGTCTCCTCCTGCATCTGCCAGTGCTGATTGTGAGCCGGTCAAAGCAGAATTCGCATGATGATGCTGAAGAAGTTCGCGTTTTAGTTTGTATTTTAGTTTTTTTTTTTTTTTGATATTTTACTGGAAACGAGATGAAAGGGAATATGCGACAGCCGATGGGCATTCAAGGGATGGAAACCCAAACTAACGATGGCTTTCAATAGTTGAATGGATGAAGTCTTTAGCGTTAACCAAGCCCGCTTCTGGGATGCGCTAAGCACACAAAACAGTATAAAGATTTCTGCGAAAATATGACTGACCTTCACGTGACGTAAAGCTAGAAATAGGCGTAATCCTTTAATTCCCTCATACAAGATACAGAGAAGAAACGAGATGAACATGGATACAGCCATCCCTAAAAAATTCTTTAAAACCACAACAGAAGATTAAACCAAAACACAGTTCTTCACGTCAAGTTCACAAATGAAAACAGAAAGTCAAAATGGATAGAAAGAATCCTCCACAAAAAACTGACCAAGTAATGTTCCGGTCCTCCAAAACGAGAACAGGATGAGTTCCTTTTCGCGGAAATGTATTATCATATCCATCATACCAGTCATATTGCTGTCCATGCTGAATAAAGAATTGCTGTCCATGCTGAGTAACGAGTTCGTATCCATGCTGAAAAATGATATCTTGGTAAAACTAAGAATTTCTATTTGTATGAACATCAGCAACAAGAGCAGAACAACAACAAAACTGATAACATCGTGATAGTAATTAGGTCACGGTGGAAACCAGTTTTCCTTCGCCCTTGTCTTCCCCGTTACAATACTTTACTATAGCAGATAAGGGTTACTTTTCGTTTTCCAGAAAAAAACCAGTTTCACCGTTCTACAGATGAAAAAAGAGGTTGACTGCACACCCAATGAACCTTGTATGAGTTCAATAGAAGAAAGCTCGCGACACCACCCCATGCTTGTACTATTCTAGTTTCTAAACTCTCAGTAGAAAAGAAAGACTGGGATTTCTCAAAGGCAAAGGCAACTGGTTTCATAAAAGTTATAGGAGATGAGAGAAGAATCGCGACACCCCTCCTCAGCAAAAAAACAAACCCTAATCGATACCTCACGAGGATGGGTAGTCATGGGCAAAACTTCAACTTTCTGAGAAAAAGTGCAAGTTCGAGTTCCTGCCGAGGCTGAAGTTTTGCCTGTAACTCGTCATCTTTGGAACATTCCGCATCGAACTTTGTCGTGAAATAACAGTAGTTTAAAAAAACATCAAGCGAAACCATTGTCGTTGTGCTCTTTGCAAACCAGCGTTCAGTCGTGAGAGGAAAATGAAATTGAAAGTACAAGGGTTTAAATATAGCAGTGTTATTCAGCTACAAAATAGAACAGCGTGTCCTCTTATTCGATAGGAACTGGAAACTGGAAAGTCCTTCGATTTACCAGGCTATCCTATACTTCATTCCAACATCACAAATCACATTCAAACGCGAGAGCTCGGAGAAACATTAATAACCGAAGAGCCCTTTGGAAAAAAAAAGTCAGTTTAGGCAATGGGCTGGTCCTGAACACCATGCTGACTGCTGCAATAAATTTGAAGGGGCATGAAATGAAAACATTGAACACCGCTTGTTCGGCATTATTACAGATCACCCATACCCCCTACCCGGGTGTTTCCAGTGTCTGTTATTTCCGTTTTCTCCAGCTCGAGAACGTTTTCGCCAGAAATTTATGATTTCTTCGCGTAATATCGGTCTGACTAATCGGACAGAAACGACGAAAGCAGCATTGAAAATGAGAAGGAAGCCTACTGATGAACTTGGGATGTCATGGTGATAGATATAGAGACAAAAAGAGACGAGATGAATGTTACGTATATTTGGGGAAATCATAAGGCATCAAATGTCGACGTCCCTCCTTTCGTAATATCGATCTGGGCGTTCGAAACGAGTCAGCGATTGGAAAAGGGTTTTCTCTTTCATTTCATGTCGGTTATACAATCAGTTCCACTTTCAAGAAGGAAAATAAAATTGTGGAAACCCATACACCCACTTTTGCTTGTAGAATTCACAGGAACTTATGTGAAGTTTTAATTGGGTGTGATACCAAGAAACCAGCGAATAAGTAGTTGGGGGAGAGGTTATTCGCCCCTCTTCTCTGGCACTAAGCGCTAGAGCGCACAGGAGGAATAGCAGGCTTTGCGAGTAGGTAGTGGTGCTTAGGAACGTTTTTTAGCCAAAGGAATGTGGTTTTACACCTATGCCTCAAAAGGAAAGAAGCGCCGGCAGGACGAGTCAACCGAGTGATTGGCACCCGGTGCTCCTCTCTATAGCTTAGTTGGATAACTATATCCGCCTGGCCAAGAACTTACTCTGGGCACAGGTCAGGCCGGCTACCCCTTCTTCTCCGCGTTCTACTGCTTGATGTAAGAGACGAGCACTGCTCCTCTTACTTCCCTGAACTACATTCACACCAAGAAATCAACTATGAACTTAAAGTGAGAAACTTCTCAAAAGAAGCTGATCGTGAAGCACATCGCTTCGAGTTCTCGACCGATTTGATGGGTTACTAAAAAGAAGAAGTAGTTAGGAAGAATTTCACGCTTGAAATGTCCAAGGCTAGACATGCTCCATCCGTAACCTCCCCCCTCCCCCCCTCCCACTCCAAAGAGAGGAGGAGAAGGGTAGGGCACAATTGCCAGACCTTATTCGTCAAAATCGAGACTTCTTACTTGAGATCATTACCGTATGTCTTCTTCAAGT